TTTAATTGGTGACAACTCTGGTACCCTTTTAAAAATTAGGGTACCGTACCTACCATGCATTTGATTGGTCTAAATCATTCTATTCCTTTTAAAAAATTTTAAAAAAATAATTTTCATAAAATAATACCGTAAAATGTAGTCAAAGTATAACATGTGAATAATGTAAAATTCAACATGTTGTGATTAAAAAAACGGAGGATAGTATATCGTATAATGATCTTTTAACTAAGTTAATTTTCAAATATTTAAAGCTTTTGATTTGAAATTCAATGTTTTTAACAATATATGTGAAAGAACTTATAAGTTGTTCAATGTTTTTCTTAACAGGATCTAGAGTAAACGAGAATTACTGAAATTTGAAGAGTAAAGGGATTCCATGCATATTTCCATATTTCAATATTTTATGTTTCATTTTTACGCATACATATTACTTGGGCTAAACTTTTCGCCCGTGCATCGCACGGGTGAGAATACTAGTATGTAAGAAGAAACAATATATTACTAAACATTCCAAAAGTGCAGCCAACAAATTTATGCTGGCATAATCAACTATGCCTATCTAGTTCAATTTATACATGTATTATGCTTCTTGTACTTAGTGTAGTATTATAAATGACTTCCCAAATATTCTAAAAGAAACACACTTGAAAGTGAGAAGGCAATTGATAGACATATAAAAAAAGTATGTTATTTATTAATTTAGAAAAATGATGACCAAATAATTTAAAAATAAGAAATCGTTATTATGGATTTAAAAGCCAAATCAAATGTACATCCATATAATCAGCAGACATATGACATTTTTTGTCATTTCCAAAAGTTAAGTCTTTAAATGTTCTTTTTTGTGTTGTAATACCCCTTTCAAAAGTTGTCATGGAACGGTCATTTTTATCCACAAAACAACACAAAACAAAAATGCACTGGTCTCATATTTCTCGAAGTAAAGAGGTTGCGCACATTTGTTTCTAAAATATTATCCACTTGGACTTGCATACTCATGTCAAGTCCCCCTGTTACAAGCTAGATTGCCCTTTACCATCTACATTTACTTGTTTAAATTGGCCACGTCAAGTTACCTATATGTTCCGCCCAATCTCACATAGGACCCCCCCCCCAAGCTGCTACACTCAACTCACAAGTCTGTCAGCCCACCCAGAGCCTTTTAGATCTTTATTGGTTGATAGTATTGAGTTAATCATGAATAAGATATACACATTTTCTTAACTATCTAAAATAAAAAATCCACCGAAAAAGGAAAAGAGCGGCCACTCACCGAATTGTGCAGAAGAAGGAGCAAAAATTGTCGAGGTGTGGAAGGGGTTTTCATCAGCTTCAAGTTAGCACAAAATATATATTTCAGTCAAACTCCCGGACAAATAGACCTCATAAAATGAGTAAAGAAGCACTTCAACACTGGTCATGTAGGAGATTACTATCTAAATACCAGCGGCAGAACGGACGTGGAGGCTGTGGCAGAGGGAACATGTATAGACATTAGTGATAGCATCCACCTCCAGCTACTGGACAGTTCAGCCAACCACCACCGCTTCCCTCTTATGGTCATCCCAATGACAGACATCATTCCCCTGCATATATGGGGCATCCATGTACAATTAGATGTAATTCAACTACGTCATTGTCTTATACTCATGCTTTATCTACTTCTGGTACTAACCATGATTATGCATGTTCTCCATCATATCCTTTGAGAATAATTTTGGTTCTATCCTTCCTCCTGTAGTGTGTCAGAATTGCAATTTTCTAGGTCATTCTATCGTGCCATCATTGTCATGTCCCTCTCGCTTCTCGATTTACTTGGTTCTCTCCCATGCGCCATAAAAGTGAGGTTTTGCGCCACTTTCAACAAAATGGAGTTGCTAAAAGAAAACATTGTCATCTTCTTGAATTGGCTCGCAATATGCCTTTCAACAATGTTGAAAGTGAGGTTTTGCGCCACTTATCGTATAAGGAAGCAATAATAACAATGTCATTCTCACTTGAATTACCCCATATATCATCCTCATAAGATGTCACTGTAATTGGGTTTCTTGTAAATCCATCATCCCCATGAAATTCAAATGTAGAAAGCATTTGACATTATTTTTAAGACATTAATAGTGGAGTAATAAATCTACAACATATACAAATTAAATTATAGATATACTTGCCTTTGTAGTCCAATATCTCTTCATCCTTTCCGTTAATGATCAGTTGGATGACATAGTAAGAATTGGTGTCATTATTCTCACTTGAGATTAAATCGTGTCAATGTAACATATTTTAAACTTTAAAATTTGATTTTTAAGGAACATCACAACGCATGTCCTTGCCTTGATACACTTCGGCTCTGCAAATTTAACCAGTGCTATCATGAAATTAGGATACTTTTGAACACTCTCTTTGATAACATCTACGAATGATCCCCACATTGTGCATTTGAGGACTTTTTTATTATAGAGAATCTAGATTTTTGTATAAAAAGTTTAAATCATTGACAGTATCAGACTTACCAAAAAGTTCTGACTCGTCAAGTTTGCTGCATGTTCAAACCGTGTATAAGGTTAGGGACAAACATGACTCTATAAAAATGTCTTTCCTCAAATTCCACAAGGGCAATATAGCTTGTAATGCACATCATTAGGTGTCACAATAAAGTTTCTTAGGATATACATAGCACCTCCTTCACACGTTCTTTAAACTCATTCACCTTTTCACGTCGTATGGTGGCGTGAACTCTGTCACAGATTCACCAAAATTAGCTACTTATTGGGCATGAAATAAATTAAGTAAAATGAATAACATGAATTATAAGTATCTCGGATTCATGGAATTGATATGTATTTCAATGAGCTAGTGACGTTCTTGTTGGTGTACGTTGATATCCCAAATGAGCATATCAATTTGATACGTAATGTTCAGGAAGTGTTGAACTCGTAAATCTTGTTGAACAACAGCTTCAACGTTTTTGTACACAAATAGAGAAAGTTGGTATGTGATGTTTTGTGCGTGTCTTATGTTTTGAGACACAAAAGAAATTGACAGGCTCAACTACAAGCTATTATTGGTCTGCCTCCGAATTTACAGGCTCAACTTTGCGGTTATTCCCATCCCACTTACAAAACGTGAGTTTGGTATATGCAGAGCAATTTATTATTCCACACTTTACTTCCCACTTATTGTAACACATTTTTTGTTTCCGATACCACTTACCTGATATTAAAACAACCTGCCACTGAAAAACCATAGCTACAAGCTATTATTGCACTATAGTATTAGATTACACGCGTGCCAGTCATGATTCTAACAGGACAAAAAAACTCAACATTAAATAAATTGATAAGGTAAATAATTCTACTATTGTGTCTAATAGCAAAGAAGCAGTTAATTAACATGATGAGATAATGATTGTACTATTTAAATGACTGTTACAGGAAATTAAATTAACTATGTTTTTTCATTATTAAAAACAAAGAAGCAGTTAATTAACATGTGGGTACTTATTGTAGTATTTGTGACATGTGGTAACATAGGATTGATTCACCAAGGTATGCTGAGGTGGATGATTGCACTGAATATAGTTTTTGACACTGGTAATGCAAGTGAAATGCTATCGAAAATAACATGTCAAATGTCAAAAAAGAATTGCACTGCCGGATCCAATGTATATATACTATCTTTAAAGTACCCTATATCACTTTCTTTAAATTTATTGTTTAAATGTGCAAATTTATAAAATTGTTTTATTGTTAGGTATACATTTTTGTATAGAACTTGAATCAAATTGCAAATATTTTTTGAAATTAGGACCAATTTTTTCCAACACAAAAAATTAATTGTTCCATGTTTGTCAATTTTTAAATGTGTTAAAACTGATTCACAGAAAAATTATTGCATGTGGAACAACAAAGTAATCGTCAAATGAACTGCACAATATGCGACATCTTAGATAGACGACGCCATGATGACGCATTGATGACGCTAGAAGTGTCAGTTGAGAACAGTTATGCCCATACAATCTAGTTTTTTATATATAAAGATTTCGAATATTTCTAAATATACATAATATAAATAAAATTTGAAAATAACAGGAAAATGAACCTTTTTTTATTTCCATCAATCAATACAAATTAAATTCTTGGATAGGTATTACTATTGTCCTAGGTAAATTTTTTCGTTCACTAATCTCTACTCAACGTAATTTGTTCATATTTTTTATTTTATATATTCATCTTTTATAAAATTCGATTTTTTTTTGAAATTTTGCAAAAAAATTAATGTAATTTCTGAATATAATTTTTTTTTTACTAAAATATTTTTATTACCATCAATGGTTAAATAATTTTATGACCAATCAAACATTCTAAATGAGGTAAGGGTCAGATTGGTACTCGAAATTGCATAAAAAGGGTCAAATAAGTCCTTATATAGGAGACTATGTCAGGCCGTCGCCATTTGGGGCGGTTCCTGGTGGAATTTTTTAACGAAATTTTTTTGAGCATCTTATTCATTAAGTCTAGTTTACTCATACCAAATTTCAGATAAAAATTCAACCGGGAAGGCATTCAAATGAATTCTTGAAGATAACTGCGCAGTTAAAATCACAGTTATCTTCAAGAATTCATTTGAATGCTTTCCTGATTGAAGTTTTAGCTTAAATTTGGTATGAGTAAACTAGACTTAATGAATATGATGTTCGAAAAATTTCATCAAAAGATTCCACCAGAAACCGTATCAAATGATGACGACCGAACAGTAAGGACTTAATTAACCCTTTTTATGTAAGTTCGAGTAACCCTTACCTCCATTCTAAACTAAATGAAAACCTTTAGGTGGAGGTACTACTTTACTAGGTACCACATTTTTTCCATCTGTCAATGCCACCAATGAAGGGTTATGACTTATGAGTATATGACCAATAAATAAGTACTCCCTAGAAAAGAAGAAAATAAGGAAGAGTACATATATGCAAAGATAAAAGGAGGAGAAAGTAGGCAATTACTCACCACCTAACATAGTCGCCCCATTAAGGGACGCGTTCCCCTGTCGCGCGAGCACACTTTATAATAAACTCTCCTCGTCATTTTCATCCCACCCAGTCTCACCTTACCTATTCGGTTTGCTACCTTTTCTAGGGAGAGATACGAGGTCCGAGGCTAAATCCATGGCTTTCCTGTCGTTCATCGGAAGGCTTCTCTTCGTCTCCGCCTTCATTCTTTCCGCTTACCAAGAGTAACTTCCTTTCTCATCAAGACTGCATTTTTTCTTGAGTTATCAAGACTGCATTTTTATTCCCGTTTCATACTATATGTACGCTCCGATGCTTGTTTGGGTGTTGGGTATTTGCGTTCCGGAGCTGTTTAATTGCCTGCATTTAGTGCTTCTTTTGGTTGACTTTTGAAAATCGTTGGTTTTCGTCGCTTCTCAATCTTGAAGTGTAGATCTGATGAGTTTGACCTGCACTGTAATGTGGGGAGAGCACGAAATTGATGAGATTTGCGTGTAAAGTAAGATTGGGTTTCTGTTGGTAATAAGAAAGAGTGGAAATTTCTGCTCTTTTTGGTATGTGCATCCAATGTATGTGGAAATAACATCGGTATCCTATTGTCTTGTTGAATTTATGCTACTGACATGGACTATTTAAGTTGTCAGTCTAGGACATACAAATGGCATGGGAAAGGTGACAATTGAACTTGTTATGATTACTTTCCACCTTTGATCATAATACTTTACATTAGTGGAACTATTGTATCACTGTATCCTGTGACTCATGTTGTCCAGATGTGTTGGTAATCCTTATGTATTCAATGTGATTATATTGTTATCTTGTTGAAGATCACAGATCTAAGGATTGAGTTGTAGCTTCTACATTTTAAACTTCCTTTTTGGCATGTGTAATATTTGACCTTAGAAGCCTTGTGAACTTTGAATGTACTGCAATGCAAGGTAGGGGGGATTTCAGGTTCTGCTTGATTTATCAGATTGCAGTTTGGTTTAATGGGTTGAGAAAATGATTGCCAAGTTTATACAAAAATTAGTTTGGTTTGGATTGGAGTGGATTGAGTTTGGTTTTTATTGGGCTTTGTTTTTCAATCTGTCAGTTTGGCTAATCAGTTTCGGTTTGTTTGGTTTCATATGGTTTGGGAAAACATCCTGAAGCTAAAACTGAATTTTATATGGTTTGATTCTTTGTTTGGGTAATTCAGTTCGGCAAACCCAAGTTCGAATGTTTGTTTAGGAGGAATAATTCATTGATGATACAAATTCCAAACCTTTTAATTTAGGTAGTTGTGATTTTGTTCAATGATTTGAAACTGTTGCCAGATGAGTTATATTTGTTGACTTTCCAATTTGAAAAATTTCCACCATTGGTCGTGCTATTATTAGGCCATTCCTAGTTTTCCTCCCAATCTTCCAACTTTATACAAGTGTATGTCTATTTATTTTTTTTGTCACTTTTGAATGGTTGGCCCATCCTATTTAGTTATTTCATTGATGATCTAAAGTTCAAACCTACCAATCTAGATCATTATGGTCTTAAAAATTCTGGTTTTTTCTCAAAGGCTTACAAACCACTGCTATCCGTATTTCTTGACTTCCAATTTTGAAAATTCCACCATTGATCCCACTGCTCATTCCTAGTTTGGTTCTCTATATTTCATTTCTATCTACTTTTGGTGCATGTATATGACTCTATGGTCATATAAGTGGTTAAAGTCCATTCGGAACCGATGGACTGAAAGTGACAAAAGTGAAAGTCATGGGACTGAAAGTGAGAATGACTAAACAGTCACAGGACCGATTGTGAATCTTCTTTCACTTTCTCTTGCTTAAAGTTTACATAAATGGAACAGTACACAATTCTAATGATCTCCTTTTGTGTCTAGGTTTAATGAATTCGGAACTGATGGTGGCCCTGCAGGGAAAACATTGAACTCCAAAATCAATGTGTTCACTAAGAATGTAGCAACACACACTGGTTTTCAAGTTCCTCGTGTGGAGGTAATAATAAGGGTTCTGTTGCCATACATGTTACTTCTAGTTGCCTTAATTATGATTATTATGGATTGTTGATCACAGATCAAGCATATTGTTTTGGGCCTTATCGTTGTGAAGGGGCTTGGAAGCCTTCTCTTTGTCTTTGGAAGCTCTCTTGGAGCTTACATTCTGGTATATACACATTAATCTTACCTTCATGTTTATTTTTCCATTACGTGTTGAATCATTTAAAAAACCATTCTCTCTGTTTGCAGCTTTTGCATCAAGCTGTTGTTACTCCAATTATATATGACTTTTACAATTATGAAGCTGACAAGAAAGAATTTGCTCAACTGTTCGTCAAGTTTTCACAGGTAATTGTTAAAATCCCTTTTCCTGCACTAGCGCCCCAAATCAGCACCACACTTTCCATGTGACAAGGTGGAATGGGAATGGATTACAATGGATCTCTCTCCTATCATTTGGGTGTATTTGGGACCATGAAAGTACTATGTGAAAAGAAATTAGGGAGGACAATGCAAAGTACTAATTTAGAATGCAAAAACTGTGGAGGAGGTGGTTTATAAAATTTGTTTTTTATCAAGGAAAATCACAAATTTGGTTAAAACTTCACACTTTTTAAATCTGCAAAGACTTGCATCTCGGACACAAACTAAATGACCCTGCAAGCTAACTTTTATTTTCCCAAGATCTCTTTTCTTCCAAATCTCCTTCTTTATCATCCATATTTATTTGAAACCCCCCCACAAATATTACTCCTCAGAAAGTGGTTGACAGAATTGTTGCTTCATAAATTTTAGTGACTATAATTGTGTTCAAAGTTACAATGATGTAGTCACTATGATGTAAACTTTGAACACAATTATAGTCACTAGAATTTACTAAGTCACATATTTGCCCATGACTTTTTTATTCGTACTATTTTAGGTAAAAAAGTTATGCATAAGAAAATAAGCATTCACCCCAACTTGTTCCATTTTCCAAACATAAATCCATAGGAAGAGAAAATCAATTTCTGTTTTGACAATGAGTGGTTTATATACATAGTACTAGTATCATTTAGAGATGCCTGCTGTACTTTTAATTGTTTTGGCTGGCAGGGTTTACAATTGTTTGGGGCACTGCTGTTTTTCATTGGCATGAAGAATTCGATTCCAAGGAGAACATTAGTGAAGAAGAAGGCTCCCAAGTCGAAAGCCCTTTGAGGATGGACCGGACATGGGTTGAGTTTTTTTTTGTGTGTGCACTAATTAACATGTTTCCATTTGTCACATTGGACCGTCTTTTGTAAGCTTTGTATTTTTTTGGTACTCCTATGAAATCTAATCTTTGTTCTTTTGGGTTTTTTCGTTTTATTTTTTGAATCTTTTCTTCCTACTATATTTATATACTTGAGAAGAAAAGAGAATTTCAAATTGTTGCTCTGTTATGGATGGCAGGACGACTTATTAGTTACTACTAATTAGACCTGGACTCGGGCCGGTTCGGGCTCGGTTCGGGCCTAGCCCCGGCCGGGCCTCGGGCCAGGATAGTTGGGCCCGGGCCCGAACCGCCGGTGGGCGGTTCCGGTTCCGGGCCAAACCGGGCCGGGCCTACCCGGATTTTTTTTTGGCTCTTCTATTTAACCCCCAACCCCTCCCCTCCACCCCAAACTACCCCAAACCACCTCAAATGGCCCAAAATACCTAATCCAATCCAAAACTTAAAAAAAATTCAAAAAAAAAAAAAAATTAAAAATCGAACCGAACAGGGCCCGAACCGGCCGGGCCGGTTCGCCAAAACCTCGGCCCGATCCCGAACCGCCCAGCAGCCGGGCCGGGCCGAACCAAACCGGTGGGCCCACCGGGCTCTGGGCCGGGCCTCACAGTAACCGGGCCGGGCCGGTTTCGGGCCGGGCCGCCCAGCCCGAGTCCAGGTCTACTACTAATAGAGTAGTTGAATTCAGCAGTTATTTCACTTATTTGCAACCTTAGAGCATCTCCAATGCTAAAACGTGAACAATGCATGCGTGGCATGAGAGATAGCCAATTAAAAATAACAAATATAATATCTCTCTCTTTATTTGAAGTAGGCATGGACCCGGTTCGGGCCGCCCGGCCCGGGACCGGCCTGGCCTGCCACTGTGCAAGCCCGGAACCGGCCCGGTTCTCGGGTCCGGGCTCGGGCCTAGGCCCGGTGGGGGGGGGGGGGGGTCCGGGCTCGGGCCTTGTATTTGGCGAACCGGCCCGGCCGGGTCGGGCCCGGGCCCGGGCCGAATTGATTTTTTTTTTATTTTTTTTTTCATTTTTTGGGTTTAGCCGGGTTGGGCTTGATGGTTAGGAGGGGTTTGAGGGGTGGGGGGGGTGAGTGGGGGGGTTAGGAAAGCAAAAAAAAAAAAAATTATGACCGAACCGGAGCCCCGGCCCGGACCCGGACCGGACCCGGTGGCTACCCGGGCCGGTCCCGGGCCTTCCTTCCCAAAAAAAAAAGCCCGGCCCGGCCCGGAACCGGCCCGGGTCCATGACTAATTTGAAGGATCTTGTATCATTTTGGTAAGTTTTTCTTCACAATGTCAAGCACAATGTCTAGATGTAGACATTATTGTGCTTGACATTGCAGAGTAGTGGTGGACTCGGGCCGGGCGGCCCGGAACCGGCCCGGCCCGGTTACTGTTTGGCTCGGCTCGGCCTGGGCCCGGTGGGTCCACCGGTTCGGTTCGGCCCGGTTTTTGGTGAACCGGCCCGGCCGGTTCGGGCCCGGGTCGGGCCGGTTTTTATTTTTTTTTTTGAATTTTTTTTAAGTTTTGGGTTGGATTAGGTATTTTGGGCCATTTGAGGTGGTTTGGGGTGGTTTGGGGTTGAGGGGGAGGGGTTGGGGGTTAAATAGAAGAGCCAAAAAAAAAATTAGAACCGGTTAGGCCCGGCCCGGAACCGGAACCGCCCACCGGCGGTTCGGGCTCGGGCCCAACTTTCCTGGCCCGAGGCCCGGCCGGGCCCAGGCCCGAACCGGGCCCGAACCGGCCCGAGTCCACCACTATTGCAGAGGAAAACTTACCAAAAACATATAAAACCGTGGAAAGAATGAGAGAGAAATGTCACAAATTCAATTTTTTGTGCCTATCTCTCTCATGCTACATGTGCACCGTGCACATTGTAGCATTGAAGATGCTCTTATCAGCTTATCTTTGTCCTCGTGAGTCTTATCAATTATAGACTATAGAGTAGTTTCTTACCCATAATTGATTTCGCTTTGTAGCTTGGAGTGTTTAATGATAAGAAAAAGTATTGGATGTATTTTTCGACTTGAAATTATAGAAATTGGTAAAGACGATAAATTTATGTTATCCTTCCATATTTTCTTAGTAGGATTATTAGGATATAATGATTTATTAAAGCATATTATATGGGCTGGTCTTGCATAGTAACGGGCCGGGTTCGGCAAGGTATCGGGTTGGGCCGAACAAGCCCAGTCCATGCCTATATCCAACCGTTTAAGCATTTTGAGCTATACAAAATAGGATTTCAATGAGTGCACGACTAAGGACTCGTTTGGTTTGAGGAAAGTCATATTACCATTAAAATGTTAGATTGTTGGGTATGTTAGATTGATGAGTATATATTCAATGTGTATCCCATTTATGTTTGGTTAAGATTAAAGGAATGTGACATTAATTTGTTTGGTTGAATGATATTTTATATTGTAGACTTGATAATTTACTTCAATGCACTTCAAACATTTTGTCTTAACACATTAGGGGGGAGTACTCAATACGGATTGTTGTGGACTTTTTTTAATCCATGGACTCTTAAAAAAATCAATGGACTTTTAAATTCATAGATTTTTTATGAATGAATTCTATGGACTTTTAAATCCATAGATAAGTTTATTGACTTTCAAAAAGTCCATAAACTTTTAAATGCGAAGCGTCACCGCGGGTCGTCAGAATTTTCACCTAGATTGTCGTTATCGATATGTCTGTGATCTATCCGCCTCCATCACCGGAGTTCCCCGTTGTCGTCATCGGACTGACCCGCCACCAACGAAATGACTTTACTTATGAAAGGGAACTAGGGACAATTAATTATATTAATTAATTCAATTAGGGGTGAATATGTAATATTTATTCCTATTTAAGAAAAATCAAACATATAATCATGCTTTAACAATAATGTTATGTTTTAGTCCTACCGTGAGCGATTTCCTCTATATAATACGGAGTACGATAAGAAAGAAATAAATGAATGAATAAATAAATAAGTGTAATTCATATAGCAACAAAAAGTTCTACAAAAATAAATGAAGCATAAGAATTTAAATTTTTTTTTTTATTAAAAAAAACTCAAAGTTTCAAGAATGCTCAAGAATTTTGGCCATTTTATTAATGATTAAGAACATTAATCGTTACACAAGCGTTACACTCATTGCTATATGTGGTACAAGCATAGATGCAATCGAGCCTTTCTACTTAATGATTATTTTGTTTTAATTTCTATCTTATAAAAGCTCGTATATGTATTCATGGTTCTATATTTATTAACTTGAAATTATATTTTTATGTGTTAAGCGATTTAACGATGAAAGAAAGTGATAGTTAAAATATTTATTTTCTTAATAGTTAACTGACGACGTACCAGAATTGCATTGATGTAATACTATCGATTCTTATATCAGTTCTTCTAAAAACTTCTAGAATCGAATTGATATGGGATTAACGAATCGAGGGGGGAGGGATGGGGCCGACAAGCTGAAGAAGAAGAAGAACAAAAGGAGAGGGGTGGGGCGAGCTGGGCAGAAGAAGAAGAAAGATCGAAGGAGAAGAGGTGGCTTGGCTAAAGAAGAGGAGAGTTGGGGGGGGGGGGGGTGGGAGGGGTGGGACGGGATGAAGAACTGATATAAGAAAAGTCCACATAAATCTTTAGTGAGGAGAAGAGGCATTTGTAGAGAATTTTTGCACTAAAAATGAGTTAAAAGTCCTCGAGAATCCATGATTTTAGAAGTCAATAAGAATGAACAGAACATTGAATACACCTAGACTTTTATAGACTTTTAAAAGTCTGCATTGAATACACCTACACTTACTACAACCTACATTTGAAGTAATATCTCAATGATAAATAAAATCAATAGTAATTGAATAACTTTTAAGAAAAGTGTGTTTATTTGCACAAATGACAAATATTAGTTAGCATTAGTAACTACTATTGACAACTGAGCATATGCTTATTTTTGGAAGAAGTTTTAAAATTGACCAGGCATCCAAGATAACCTAAGACTCACATGGGTTTCACATTACCGGACATGGGATTACATTCTTCTCTATTTAGGAGTATAACAATCTTTAATTTTTTTAAACCCGCTAACCAAACATGAGTATCTCACATTCCCGATATAAGATCCCGATCTTCATACAAGATTACCTACCTCGATCCAAACATGTCCTAAGGAATATTACTTTCGCACATTTGAGCTTTCCTCGTCCATGACTCCAAAAACCAGCTTGGATATCAGAATTCAAAAGTAGTTGCTATGATTTGACCGACCTAAATTTAAGTTGGTGGTCCGTGGTCCGTGGTCTTACACTCTTAATCTATAAATTATGTTCTTGCTTTAACTTTACACATTTTTACGGAACAACAATATTCTTTATCAACTTTCAATTAAGTATGCTAATTTTCGGGTTAAAAAGAGTACAAAAAAGGTAGAGTGAACTTTTTTGTGACATCCTAAATAAGAGTGGGAATTTAATTTAAAAACGAATGAAGTATTTAACTTATGTAGTGAAATGTTTGCTTAACCTTAATACAGTTGTTTCTCTATCCTGTGGCAAAATTGTTAGTCAATTTGTGGCCAATGTATATAAGGAGATGAAGTGGGTGAGGTGAATTATACTGGTATAAAATTATTTGAAAGAATAATCTATCTATGAGTAAAATATGAATCTGAACTAACAAAATGTTGAGCCAGAGACCCACAAAATGTTTTACACACTCGATATTACAGCCAAAATTTAGACTGATCAGACGCGCTCAAAATGTTGACTAGTTTTTGCACAGACACAGAACAACAAAAGAGCACATCTAATCAAATCTAGGTAATACAATCGACAAAATCATAAATGTTGCAAAATCAATTATCAAACCATGAAATGCATAAAGATAGCTCAGATTGACATAAGAATAGATGCATTGCCACAAAAGAGAACTCCAATCTCCATCATCATCTTGTATCTCAGAGCCTCAAACCGGCTAGGTATCTTAAGAGAGCTCAACAATTTTTGATCTCTTTCTTGAATGCTTCTTCTTTCTTGAAGATTCACTTGCAGAATCTTTCTCAGCAGGCTTTCCAGTCTTCCTATTGTCTGGAAAATGTTGTTCATCTTCACAATCCTCTTCATCATCACTTTCATCATCATCATCATCACTACTAGTGGATGCAAAAGGAATCATCACAGGTTGATTACCAGCGATGGCCGACTCAGCAGCAGCTATGGCTTCCTTACTCTGTAGCTCTGCCACACCAAGCATCAAATCCATCTCAATAAACTGAGATTCCTCCCCAGTTAATGCTTCTATATCATAGTTCTCTGGGTTGTTTTTCGCATCAACCTCCAGCTTTTCATTTGCTGCCGATATTACCCCCAAGAAATCTTTTACTTTACCTAGAAATTCGCTCTGATGAATGGGAATGAGGGTGGATGTCTTTTCAGAAGAGCTGGGTTTGGCTCTTTGGGACTTGAAGTTTTCATATCCATTTTGAAAAACAAATTTGGACTCCAAAGGTGAGGCTTTCCTCTCCAAGTCTAGAAGAGCTTTACTGCTGGGCTTCATTTACACACAGTTATGACCTCTCTGGAGAGCAAACGTTGATATTACCTGCAACAAATCCCTCTTATTAGTTAGTATCATAAGTTCTGTTTGATTGCAGGAAAATAAGTTGTTTTTGAATATATTTTCTTGAAAAAGTAGCTATCTCTGTGTAATTCAGTGTTATCAATAGCTGATAGGGGATTATGGAGGAAAGCTTAACACATGCAGATAAGGTAAAATAAATTATACAGATTTATTCTAGTAACATTAAAACAGTCAGACACCTAGAATTAAAAATAGAATCATAGCACAAAACTAGCAAACCACCATATTTCAAAGTTTCAATTTTAAAAACAAGCTTCTCATGGCGCATGGCGATCGCCATGGAAC